GGGCCAGAACGTCTCTAAACAAACCGTGTGAGTACTTCCAGCAATATTATTCTGCCTGCCTGCCTGTTACGACCTGACTGACCCTGTTTCCCGAGCCTGCCTGTCCCACGTCTGATTCTTCTGCCTCGCCTGAGTTCTGCCTGGTCGGCCTCAGTGCTCTGCCTGCCTGCCCGTGTCCCCGACCCTGCCTGCCCGACTCTGCGCTCCCGTCTGATCCTCCTGGACTGCTTCCCTGGCCTCGACCCCTGCTCGTTCTGGACTACGTTTTGGATTATCCCTTGGAGTATTGCTGGACTGACCACACGGTGCCGACCTCGCCTGCCTGACCACGCCCACAGGATATTCCTGAGAATAAACCTGTTTGAACTGACCGTTGCCTCAGGGTGTTTTTGGGTCCAAAGAACAAACATTACACAACCAACCTAACATGCAGGTTTTTGGACGGTGGGAGGAATCCGGAGAACCCGGAGAGAACCCACAGACACAGGAGAACATGCAGGCTCCACCCAGAACCCTCTGGTCCTGGTTCCCCCGGGACTCCAACCCAGAACCCTCTGGTCCTGGTTCCCCCGGGACTCCAACCCAGAACCCTCTGGTCCTGGTTCCCCCGGGACTCCAACCCAGAACCCTCTGGCTGTGAGGCGATGGTGCTAACCACCACACCACCATATATAATATAAGATTAATAAATCAAACAGGTTGCATGTCAGGTGCAAACGGTCAGTGGTCGTTAGATATGGTCATTCGCTCTTACATCAGAATCCCCAGTACTCTGGCTGTCACAGACTCTTGACCAGCACCCATCACTGACTCAGTGGGGAATTCATTTTCTGGAAAGTTGTATGGCAAGTCGAAAAAGACCCACAGCAGTGGAAGTACAAACTGAAGACGTCTTGTTCACACTGATCTGTGCATTTCTACATTTCTACATATGGCTCATCTCCCATGAGCCCTCACTCGTCCAGATGAGAGCCAAGAGTGTCAAAACTTGACAAGTGGGCCAAGTTAAAGGCAATAGCTGTCCCAGGAAGTCGTCTCACTCTGTCCCTACACACACATCCAAACACACACAGAAAGAAGGTAAAAAAAAAAGGCCTGACTCCATCTGCCGGGCCATCTGAAGACATCCCGCTCTCTCCTGCTCCAGAACTCTGCAGCAGCCGGAGCTCACAGCCGCGCAGCCTACCGGCCAGCAGCTGGGCCCCCGCGGGCTTCAGAGGGGAGCCCAGCGAGACGCGTGGGAGTGCGAGGGGGGGGTGAAGTATTATGTGTCCTCCTCGTGCACTCTTTGGCTGGCCCGTTCAATATGCTCAGCCAGATTGTCTGTGCCCAATGTGAAGTAGCCTGGAGGGACTCAAACCAGTGATTGAATAAGTTATGAGTCTGTCTGAGAGACTGTAACAGTATAATGTCATAAACGGTTTCTTGGTCGGAGCCCAAACACGAACATGTGTGGAAACTTCCACACACTTTACGAAGATAACTTCCTCTATGGAGCTTTACTAACAAACATGGAGCCAGTCTGTGGTTCGTTTCTATTCCTGCATCAGCATCCACGATCTACATACAGTTAGTCACCAATTACTGGTGAGAGGAAGAGGACTAAAGCTCCCAGCCACCGTGTGTGTGTGTGTGTGTGTGTTTGCATTTAACAAACATCATTATCGCTAACAATACTCCAGAATAAACGCAACAGAAACTCAATGTTCCTCCTCTTGATGCGGCTGTTTTTAAAAACTATAAAACTGTGTGTCACTTTATGGAGGTTCTGAGAAAATAATCAGACAGTTCATGCAAACAGTTTTACATGATAACAACAAGAGTTTTGTAATACAGCCCACCCTTAATGAGGAAAACTGTTAAAGGAGAGAGAATTATTTAGTCGATGCCGTTTGGTGAGAACGGGCACAATTAGATTAATTTTCTGTTAAGTGAAAAACAGACAAAACAAAGAGGCAGAAAAACAAGTCATAATTGCTATTATTTAAAGTTAATCACCCAGTCTGTCAGTCCACAAACCACAATCTTTTAAAAGTGGTTTGAACTTTAAGATAGGTATTGAAGACCTGTCAGTTCCAACTATTTATCTATTCTTTTATACTTTTGAGATTCATTAGTTAACTAAGACAACACTTTACTTGAACCTCTTACCTCCTACTTTTTGATTGGGATTAGATAACATACCTTAGAAAGAATTGCAAATACAACCATAACCTCATTTTCATTTTCATTATCATTTTCCTTTTCTCTCTGAATGTTATTAACGGTTAGTCTGCCAGCAAATCACAGGTTCTTTTTTCGGTTAGTTGAGAGTTTAACAATATTAACAGAAGAAGTAATTATTGAAGTAAAAGTAAGACAATTAGAAGCATTGTCAACCATCTACACACCGACACATACACACACAAACACACACCCCCACACACACATAAAGTGATGCTCATCACAGGAAGAGGCACTGATTAACATTCAGTTATTGCATTTCTGAAGAACTAACAAGGATATGGCACTTTTAATTTGCAACAGCTCTCTTCTGGCCGTGAATTTCTACTTTGTTACTGAGACAGTTCACCTGTGTGGGCTGTTTTGTGTGACATCATCAGCAAAGAGCCACACCTCCATGGACTGACAGAGGCCTGCAGATTCCTACCACACCTTCCTCTCTGTGTGTATGTCTTTACAAAAAGCCTACTGCCACTACCAACTTTTAAAACTTCAACAAAAGAGCTTGAACGTTAAATTAATTGGATTAAGTGAACGTTGTAAATGTGGATGTGTGCTGGATGGTGTCATGTTTGGTGTCAGGTCAGATTGGTGCTGAGACATGAAAAGGCCTTTAGAAAATGCACATTCAGTGTAAAAAAAAGGCTTCTGAGCATCAGCAAACTGGTCACAGATGGTGCATCAGTGCTCCTTGGTTAGCCTCCTGATGGAAGAGCCACATCCGAAATGTGCTCAAACAACGGTCACACAACAGTTTTTTGTTCAATGAAAGGCCATTTAAAGGTAAACCTAACATTTGCTATTAGCTCGCTCATTAATGGCATTATGCATTTCCAGATGGCACGCACTAGTAAAGATAAAAGCTTATTTCAGAATGTTTCTCTGTGATAAGGATCGGTGTGAGCACATGCTCCAGAGGGCTGTTTTAAATCGTGTAAACAGGCCGGGCTTTATGCACAAAGGCATGGCTGCTGGTGGGACTATGCTACCTTGGAGACACTTCCCACAGCTTGAAGGAAATTACCTCTAATTGCACCTGATTGGCTCCTGTTGACTCCTGATTAGGAATGACAGCCTTATTAGCATAGCGGCATTACGGAGCTGGTTTAAATGGTGGAAAAGCTCCAGGCTGATAAATGACCGGATTGCTCCTGAGAACGGTGAACCTGCCATCTGCCGGCAGACACCAGAAACCCTGTGAGCACATCAGTATGAGAGTCAAGATGTCATTTTTGTAAGAACAAGCAAACAAATCACAACACCTCCTCTGTCAACATCACTGCCAAAAATCAGCTTTTTTTTTTAACACATATCCCAGTTTTTATTAATTGGAGCGATAAAAGCTGAAATGTCAGCTCTTAACCCATAAAATACTTTATTAAATGGGGGAACAGAGACATTTACTTGTTTTTTTTAGTAAAACTGCAATAGTTTGTGCCATTAAAAGAATATTTAAATGCTCTGATAATCAAGACATTAGGCTTGACAAATAACATACATGTATTTTCATAAACTGATTTGCTCCCTTTTCTCCTCCCACAGCATGGAGGAAGAATGGAAAGAAGAGCTTGAATATAAATCTCTTCAGAGATAAAAACACAATTTTTAAAATACATTTGCTCAGTTGCAACACCATTTTAAATGCAGTACATTACAAAGAAATGCCATATGTTTAAATTAACATATTCCTAAAGGCTCTCTCTTACAAGCTACTTTTAAAACACTCAAAACCCAGCAGAACCGGCAGTTAAAGGGTTAAACGTAGCCCCCGGGGGGGTTCAGGTGCCTGATGAGGGAGCTGCTGGCAGCACCTCTGTGCATATCCACAGAAGGACCCACGATGATTGAAAAAGAGCCTTCTGGCAAAATAATTTAGCATTTCCCATCAGCAAATGGGAGAAACTCCCCAAGAAATCACTTCGACCACATCGGAGCAAATGAAAGCCAATTCCCTTCCCCGGCAACGTGTGGGTGGTCAACGCGCTACGCAGGGGCCGAGGCCGGACTGCTTTTGTAAAAACAAATGTTTAAAATAGCCTTTTCGCGTTTGAAAAAGTCTCACATCTGAAATGAATATGAATCTCTCCGTCGCTCATCTAAAGGGCAGCCACCCAACGCGATGACTGGGAAAATGAGCTGAACCCCAAACGTCTTTACTGACCCAAAGGAGGTTTAGTTAAGAACAGCTTTACTGCTCAAATCAAAGGCAATTCAAGCTAAATGCAGAACAAACAAGCAGCTCCTGATGAGCCGCTCTCAGTAGAAGCTATAAATCTCCCCAATAGTTTATCTGGACATCCTTTCCTGCTGTTGATTTAAAAAAAAGAAATGCTAAAACAAAGAGAAATGCTATTTAACATAGCAGGGCAGATGAGGATGGAGGTTCAATAATATACTTTATATATTTTTTTTCATATAATATTTTCTAATATTATATTTGTATTTTTGAAAGATAAAAAAAAGTCTCCTTCCAGTCTGTTTTCTAAACTTAAAGACACATTTTGAAATTATCTCTTGGTTATTAGGCAGCAGGGCTCCAGTGATAGTTTATAGAATTTCAATGCTGCATTAGAAAATATTCACATTACACAATGCACACAAATTTTAAACATAAATATGTATCCTCGTTTTCTTTTTATCCTCTTTTAGACCACACAGTCTTCTAAAGCCAGAACAGGTAGGTGGCTGCTCCCGTCTGTAATTTAGTCAAACCGTCGGGCAGATGGGCTTTGTGTTAGCATCCTATCAGACTCGCTCTGCTCTTTTTAAAAGCGACGCGGCTTTTTGTTGTGCAGCTGCCGAACAGCGGGCGCCGCTAAATCATTTTGTTTTTCTGCCGAAATGTTTTATTTGCAACATTAAATACGAGCGCCTCTGCGTGAGTTTGCCTGAGTGGGGGGGGGTTCGTTCTGCACATGAAAGGCAGCAAGCGCTCTTTTAAAAACCCACTGATGTGCCTGGTACAGCACACACACACACACACACACACACAGAGACACACACACCAGGCGTACTCAGGGCTGCAGTGGGTATTTGGGGTTTTTTTTGGATTCTGGGGTGCTGGTGGGTCTCACCTGGCTTGCCGGTGGACAGGATGTTCTTGGGGATGGTGACCCGGTCCTCGGAGCTGCGGGCCCAGTCCACCATGCCCCTCCAGCCCTTCATGGGGAAGTTGATGTCGGCGTGGCCCATCACTGGACGCTTGTGGATGCTCAGAACTGCGAATCGGAGGAGGGGAACTCAGTCAGATCCACACAGACTGTTTCCCATCAGACATAATGTTCCTGTTTCTTCAAATCCTCTCGGTGGGGCCCTGTGATGGTAACCTGTTCAGGGTGTGATGCACCTCTCTGGGAAAGGCTTCAGCCATTCAAAATGGATGAATAAAACATTTTCTGTGTGTTTCTTGTCTTATGTTTATGTTTCTGCATTTGTCAGACGCTTTTATCCAAAGCGACTTACAGAGTAGACCCAATATTCCATTTCTCATCACTATGACAATAAGCTATCCAGAGGAGAAACCCTGATCAGAGTCAGTGGTGAGATAGAGATAGAGGTAGAGGGACTACAGAAGGAGCTGTGGGGGGTAGAGGTACGGGTTAGGGTTAGGATAGGAGCTGTGGGGGGTAGAGGTACGGGTTAGGGTTAGGGTTAGGATAGGAGCTGTGGGGGGTAGAGGTACGGGTTAGGGTTAGGATAGGAGATGCTCTTTGAAGAGGGGGGTCTTCAAGAGTTTCTGAAGACAGACAGGGACTCTGCTGTTCTTGTGGAGCTTGGTAGCTGGTTCCTCCATCTTGGAACGACACATTAAACAGTCTGGATTGTCTTAAAGTGGTGAAGGCACTGCTAGACCAGTCCATTGATGACCCAAGTGACCGAGTTGTGACCTAAGCCTTTGCAAGACGATTCTAGTAGATGGGAGCCGTACCCTTAAGCACTTTGTAGGCTAGCATCAGGGACTTGTAGGCTAGCATCAGGGACTTGTAGGCTAGCATCAGGGACTTGTAGGCTAGCATCAGGGACTTGTGGGCTAGCATCAGGGACTTGTGGGCTAGCATCAGGGACTTGT